TTGCAACTGCATTCAGCATGGTGATAATTGCCCATGTCGTGATCATGAAAGGAAAGAACCTCTTGGGCTTAAAGTAAGGCAAAAGCAAATTATTTGGGACAATCCCACTGTGTTAGACATCGAAGTTAGCATGTGTCTAGTGAAAACTCGGGACGAGAACTTCTGTCAACTGACATGAGGTATGCGGTCGCATAAAGTGTTGTAACTTCTGTAAGTTGGGCACCTTTGAATCCCAAATCCTGCCTCATTCCAGATACGTAAGCTTGCGTAATACTGGCTCTGTCTAAATAGTTCCTTTTCCGTCGGACATTAGCATTTGCCTCATCATATTGGTGGAGGTGATTACTCACATGAAGTATGCTAAGCAGCAGAAGGTCAGAATGAAGAAATCTAACTTCAAGACAAGCCGTTTCTCCTGGGGTGTCGATGCACCCTTGAAGTGTTGTCGCAAATCCGAAAACGGCGACATGATGGTTGATCGTGATGCCCTTGCTGGGCTATTTTTCACGGAATTGGTGGTGTTATTCGTTCAGACTGGGTGCATAAGATCGACCTTCCTCGAATTCAGCTGAGTCCGAGGTCTTAAGTAGATATCCTATCTCAAGATACAGGGCGTCGTGCGTTGTCACTAAGACCGTACCATCTGTCAATAGCAGACTTATCTTCTTGGCTGGTCTCATGAGAAGCAGGAGATTGTCATGGCACTGAAACAGGCAATCAGCCGAGGACTCCGATGCTCCTTGGTGCCCCGCCCTTGAAGAGACTCTGTGTCTGTCACTCGTCCAGACTGGACGAAATCCGGGCTACTGACACAAATAGGAACTGAGACGCAATCACAATGTTGGCAATTTGGCATCAGCTTGGTGTTGACTAAGGTAGCATGCATCAATGATAAGCATGGGAGTTGATGATCGCCCAATCACGTCAATGAAGCGAGGGAGAAGTATATCAAGTGGGGCTTCACCGAGAGGAGCTCCTCCCATTAACCCATTCATGTCGACAGTCGCACCGATAAACGTGTCGAACCAAAGGACGGATCACCGGGATTCGATGGGGAAGTGAGATCAGTGTTGAAAGAATGAGGCAAGTTAGAGGCCACAGCGGTGTTCTGTCCGTCGTTGAGTCAAATATAGTTCTTGGTTGTCCAAATTCGGGGGCCCGTTATCTCCAGTACCAAGATGCCAAGATTCCAGCTGCAGTCGACAAAAAGGCTGCTGCTGATGTCACGCGTTGTGTTTGCCTCGGTAAAATCGTGTTAAGCCTAAGTGGCAATAACATCGTTAGGTTCATCTTCAAGCCCGACTTGAGGCTGCATATGCGTTTCAAATGGGAGCAAACCACAACCGTATGTATTCGAGCAAGATTATATCAAAAATAGTGTTTATTGCTGCTCGACGAATAGCTGAAGAAGATTGCCGAGTTCCTATGTCTCATAAAGCCACCTCAATGCCAAGACGGACAAGTCCGCTGGTTACGATTATTCACTGCGCCTTGAGCACGGGCACATACACCTCTCTAGCAACGTTGTCAAACTTTCCCAAGCTCTTGTGGCCTTCAGGATCTGGATACTCTCCCGCAAAGAAGTCGGCGTGCTTTCCAGTGTCCATAGGCCGGTCTATATCGTACTCATACCGTTTCCAACCGTGCTTCCGGGCATCCAGGTAGTCTATTTACTGTCAGCCCAGGTCCATTGAGCCGATGACTTGTTTACTTACCAGCCATGCAAAACACTCGATCATCCATGGGCTTGTCGCGGCCAAGGCGTTGTAGCAATGGGGAGTTCTCCAAAGGCTTCAACTCGCGATCATCAGCAGGACGGGCAAAGTAGATGACTCCAATACGACGAAGGTGTCGCTGGTCTACAGGCGGCTGCACCACACGATGAATGGTCGCCTTGAACAGGCCCCCTGTCAAACGCTCCATAGCCTCTCCGAAGTTGATGACGAGACCCTTGGGCTGGTGCTCGACCCAGCGATACTTGCCGTCGTTGTGGTCCAAGACTTGAAGTGCGGCGATGGGCTGCGAGAACAAGAAGGTCCAAGAGCCCCAGTCGGTGTGTCCGGAGAGGAAGATGTCACGGTACTTCTCGCTCTCTTCCTGAGGACGAGGCTCACACATCATGTATCTGATGTACTCTGTCTTGGAGCTACCGGATGCATGGGTCGCCTGCACTGCTTCATCTGGAACCTCCAAGATCATGCTCACCAATGTCAACAGCTTCTTGAGGATATTCGTGCGGATAAACTGCATCACATCCTGGGTCTCTTTGAGGTAGGGTCTCATAATCTCTGGGTGGGGGCGGTTCTTCGGATCGTGGACGAGGATGTTGTAGTGGTCCAGCTGCTTGGGGAAGCCGCCTTTGTGTCCGAGTGGACCAGCTGGCTTGTAACCAACATACAAGCCACGAGCGTCTTCTTCGGGGGTGACTGATGGGAGGACCTGTCAGCGATGGGCCAAAACTTGTCATGTTCATAGGAATTATTCACCTTCATACGGTACCTTCTCGTCAGGCGGCAGAGTCATCATTGCGTTCGCAATCTGCATCTGTCGAGCATAGATTTCATCGGATATGCCATGGTTCGTAAGAGTGAGGAAGCCATATCCGGTTGCGGCCTCATAGAGCTCTTTCGCAAGTTCTTGTCGGCCAACTGGGTCGTCGAATTTTGCAAGATCGAGATTTACGAGCTTGACATAGTCAACTACCAGAGATTAGCTACTTGACAGAGCAAACGGGTTGAACGAAGTATGGCACTTACGGTTTTCCTTCGACGGAGAAGCTGGAGTGTATGGAGGGAGAGACATATTTGCATAGGTCTTCAGTCGATTCCTTCGAGTGTCGTTGGCAGTGTTGTGGATTGGTTCACTGTCCTCATGGCACCAAGTCCCTTATCTCCATGAAGACTGCCAGCTTCTGATATATCCGTCCTTCGTCTAAACCAAAGAATTCCATTCGGTCCAAAGGTCACAAGCCGCCACTACCACTCACATGATGCACCCATCTCGTTGCTCACCTGGGGCTCCTCCGCGTCTGGGGAAGCTGCATCTGCAAATCGCTGCTTTTCTGACACAATCATGTCTGGCGACTACGAAAGCAAGGCGCTCCTCCTGTCAACCCACACACCCGTCACTCCTCCCACAACTCCTCCCAAAAGCACCATTGGGAGGAGCCCATAATTCTTTTTCAAGTGAATCGCCAGACCGGATTGGATAACAAACCTTGCCAAGGTTGCGCCGAGGAGGAGCTCCTCCTAGCTCACTCCCTTTTATGGGGCCAACGATAAGCAAGATGTGGACCTGGAAAGACGCCCGCTTCAATCGGGGCTTCAGTTCCGCCATGCTCTAATCCAGGCGCCCTGAGTGGTTTAAGTCGAACTTGGCAAGGATGCCAGGGGCAGCATCGCGGTGACATTCTCCCGGCCCCCCCTTCCGGGTGCGGGGAAGCGATCCTCTCCGCGTTTGCAACCGAACCCCGGCTCGCTTTGAGGCAGCCTACGAGATGACGCTAGACTGTCATTGCGTGGAGTCTCTTATCTTTGCCAGGCACTAGCGGTATCATTGCCATCGTGTTGGGTCATGGGGCTGTCGTTATCGCCTTCGTCCCCGAACACCGTGTCGTGATATGCGACCGAAGGACGACGACAACACCACGTCTACCATCTCAGGTGTTCAATTGCGTGAATAGACTTGACAAGCCTTTTGATTGAGAGAGTCGTGATGCCTGCCGAAAAGATGACCAAGATGAACAAGGGCGAAAGACCGTTCCAGTGCCCAGCGTGCCCTAGTCGCTTCACCCGACAAGTAATTCCAATCCGTCTTGCCATTGGGATAGATGATAGAGATGATGCTGATTCACCGTAGGAGAACCTGAGTCGCCATACCAGCTCCGGTAAGTGATGCACGTTTCGTGTTGTCCTCGCTCTTCTTTGGCTGAGTGTCCGAAGTTCATCAAAAGTCGAATTTGAGGCCATTCCCATGCCCCCACTGTGAAGTGAGCTTCTCTAGAAGGTATGTGAATCCCGCATAGCCGTCATTCCCCCATCCCGCCCAGCCACGTGCGTACTCAGCCCTCCAGTTGTTGACCTTTTTCAGTGATCTGAGAAAACGCCATGTACGAAAGTATCACCCGGGATCAGACAGCGGTGCTGAGCAACCTCCACCTTCCGTGCCGCCAATCGAGGCACTTCCAAATTCTGCGAACAGTCATGGGCCGACTCGCCGCGAGAGTAGCAGCACCCGTGTAAGAAGACTAGATCCATTGGAGGGTTTTGCAGACGATGTACTAACCCGCTTGTGAAAGTCCTCTTCGATATCCCAACTACTATGTGATCAAGGCATCTCATGGATGTTCAAGCTTCCACAGTTTATTTCAGGCTATTTTGAGAACTTTCAACCAATATTCCCGCTGATACACGCACCAACCTTTGATCTCAGCTCTGCTAAAGAACCGCTACTGCAAGCAATTGCCTGTATTGGTGCGGTCTATCAATCTCCAGGCCAAAAGCACGAGTGCAGTACTGCCTTGTTTGACTCTGGACTGAAAGCATTGGAGGCATATGTAAGCTTCATCAAACCAGGTATCTACTTCTCTCGACTGACCTAGCATCAATCAGGTCAGGGAGCGGCGATGCTCTAGATTCCAAGAGGTCTGGGTTATGCAAGCCTACTTGCTGTTCGAATATTATGCGATTCATTGCTGTGACGATGGCCGATTTTCGGTTGCACTGAAGATCCATCGAAAGGTTGTAGATGCATCACGTCAATGCCAACTTTTACAGGACAGGTTTACTCTTGGGCTGGACGAGAGTTTCAACAGTCCCACAAGCATCGATCACACGGCAGCGTACTCCACGGAGTCGGCTTGGCACACCGCGATCCAGAATGAGTCAAGAAAACGGTGGGTGCTGATCTCAGACTCTAGTGTTATACATAGCAAGCTAACCAAACGAAGAATCGCATACTGTTTATACTACTTGGACGCTCAGTTGGCGATGTGCTGCAACATGGGACCGCTTCTGGCAGCTCTTGAGATCAAGTACGAATTGCCATGTCGAGATGACATATGGGAAGGAACGACAGCCGAAGACTGGCAGGCTCTAGTCTTCGCCCAGGATGGGTCCTTCAACGAAGAAGAGGATGAAGATGCCAATGCTGAACCCCGACCTGCTCATGGAGATCTTTACGGGTGTCTGGCGCAATTGATGAACCCCGATCCGTCCGCGCGGGGTCGTCCGCCGGGTTTACTCTGGCAGTCATCGTTCACATGCTTGGTGCTCATAATCCAGATATTGATGATGACGCGTGATCTGACACTTGCGGGGTCTTTCTTATACCACAACATCCGGCCAGGAGAAAGCAAGAACAACTTATCGATTATCTCAGAAGTCAACCGAGCGCCGATAATGCAAGCCCTGGACTCCCTTGCGGATCTGATGCGCAAGCCGATTCACCACCTTGGAAGTTCATCCACGAATTCTGCCAGCTGGGACCGCGTTTGGACCATGTGGCATTACGCGGCATTGAGCCTCACTCATCAAGAAGCCCTTCTAACCAGTGGCATCGTCGAGTACAGCTTGCCAAACGCAATTTCGACATGCTGGGAACTGAATAAGCCTCGGTCAAAACAGCACCGTGATGTTTATGACGATAGAGATGGTAAGCATGCAGAGGTCATCATCTTCACGCGGGCTTTGCTGATAACCTTTGCGGCGGATAGTTACAAGGATCGCAAGCAACATGGAGAACATCCTGATGCTCATGTCTCGTTCATCGAGGAGTTCTGTCTCTGGCTCTACGTCCATACCCAGTGAGTATGCAACATGCGCAATTATTGAAGATCCGTTCATGACTATGGTGGGCTTCAAAGCCTGTTTGATGGGTTGGCGCCTAGTCCGACTTATGTCACTGACGGTTGCTCAAAGCAACGTCAACATCCCAGGCGCCCGAGTTCCCAGCATCTATGCCGTGACTTCACAGGTTCTTTTAGGCGGTATTCTGGCAGCTATAAACTCTGATGATAATCCAGTCAATATTTCCGAGACGCCTGAGGCGAGATACTTGACATGGGTTGAAGCGAACTTTGCAAGTCAAAAGTTTTGGCCCTTGGGCAAATGGATCGTCGCAGTATTCAATGACTGAGAGAGTGGCTCTTTCCTAGACCTAGTTCGGATGTGGACGTGCAACTTGTATTAATACAAAAGCCATCATTGTCATACATTCTACAGGAGATGCTTGACCTGGCTCACAAAGTCTGTGACTGTCTCTTCGAACGACATGTACTTCAACCCCTGGAAATCCTTCATCATCGGTTCAGGGTCTACCTGGACATGAGTTTTGACTTCTTGTATGCCGGCTGCAATCTTCTGCCTCAAATCTGGATAAGTGCTCCGAATGGTTTCTGAAGCCTTCTGGTATGTGAATGGCTCCGGAGCCACGGGGATATACCTCTTGCCGCCAGCTTGCGGAGTTGTCAAGGCCATGACATGAATCTCAGCCAAGTCCCTGACATCAATCCAGAAGTTGAACCGACAGGGAGGCAAGGATCCAGATGGTCCTCCCGTTGCCACCCGCCACAGCATCATGTTAGACTCGTTCAAGTCGTCCTTTGATCTAGGACGTGTACCCAACGGTCCAAATATCATGGAAGGACATAATGTGACCAAGTCGAAATGAGGCTTATGCTCTGTGATAAACCTCCAAGCTTCCTGCTCTGCCAATGTTGTGGAGCCACGATACGCGTCCTGTGGTGTTGCATCGGATGCCACTGCCTCGTCATAGCTGATTGGGTTCCAGTCGTTGGCGGTGTATGTCCAAGGAGTCGATTCCTCCCGTCCCATATCGAGGACTGCGCCAAACGACGAGGTCAAGACAATGCGCTTGACTGATGACTTGGCTGATGCATCCAAAATTGACCTTACGCCTTTCAGTGCGGGAACAACAAGATCCTTCTCGTTGTCCTTTATGTCGTACTTGAGAGGCTACGTGCACACAAGAGTCTCAGCTTACTGACCGTGGCCAACGGGTATTCAGATTCGTTGCCTCTACTTACACTGGCAACATGGATGACGCCATCGATGTCTTTGGCGGCTTCATCGAAAGCGCCTGGGTCGGTAAGGTCCTCAATAAAGTAGAAATCCAGCTTCGAGGCGTACTGGGCTCTTGCTGATAGGAAATTGTCTGCCTTTTGTTTTGATCTTGCCACCGCTCTGACTTTGTAACCCTTCCTCAATAGGTTGTCCACAACATGAGATCCGACCAGTCCAGTTGCACCAGTCACTAGAATGCAGCTTTCAATTGTGTCAGCAATTACGATCTGAGGCTCTCGAATTCTCATTTGAGCACTAACTTGCAATCCATTCTTTTCACTTCGTGTTGGGTTAATATTGTTTTGTCGAGCTGTATGAATACCGAATCAAGCTCGCAGGCGGACTTCCAATATAAGACAAAATGGTATTTCTTTCAAATTCTGGTGTCTAAGAGCGCCACAGAGTCCTGCATCATTTTATTCGAAGTTCTAGCTGCCTTATCGCAGCTGATCGGCTCGTAAACCACTACTGGGACTCCACATCGCGCAGCGATCCAAGGCGGAGCTCCTCACAACGTAAGGTCATCCTCATGTGAAGCAGAGTGCGAGCATCACAGGTAATCCAAAAATATGCCAGGTGTCTTTCTCCGGAAATTGCATGGGTAGCATTTGGTTCATCAATTCTCGCATGCCTTGGTTCGCAGTTACAGCGAGAGTAGACGGAGTAACCTCCGCCGAGGTGGAGCTCCTCCCTCATGCAACTGTTTAGCCGCGGTGCTCCTCTCAGTGCAATCGAGGATAAGCAGACTCCATGAAACGTCGTCCTTGACGAAGACTTCCAGTGGAGTGTCAAAAAGGGACAAGCTTGAAAACAAACGAAATTCTCATTGATGACCATTAAATCACTATTGAAATCCTTCACTCATCATCCCTCGTCTCCTCGATCGCACCATTTCCAAATCGCCATACAATCTCACTCCCAAAATGTCTTTCGGCAAGCTGTACACATACTCGAAGGCACCACGCTCGACCATGGTGCTCTTCGTTGCCAAGTACAACAAACTAGACGTTGAAATCTGCAATGCATTTCCTATCAAGGTGTATCCGGAGAAGGGGGGGGGGGGGGGGGGGGGGGGTCGGCGACGTATACCTGTCCAAATTTCACACTGGCAAAGTTCCGGCGCTCGAAACATCCGATGGCTTCGAAGTTTATGAGAGCAGCGCTGTTGCTTGGTTCCGTGAGTGCCTTCGCGTTCTGCAGAACCAACATAACACTGACGATTCATTAGTCGCGAAGCAAGATCCCAATACAAAGCTATGTGGGTCAAACCTGAAGGAGGAGACGACCGTCATCCGATGGGCTTCTTTCACCAACTATGAGCTCCTGCCGCCAATCATGGCATGGATCCAGCCCATCATTGGTCGAGCACCGACAAGCCCGGAGATTCTCAAGGAACGAGAGGAAGGTTGCGAGTTGACTATCCGTGCTATTGAGAAGGAGATCGAGGGCAAGAAATATCTCGTTGGTGATACGTTAACCTTGGCCGACCTTTTCGTGGTTTCCGGTCTTGCCCGGGGCTACCAATATGTACGTATAGGCGAGATATCCCGGTATTGGACTACCACTGACGGAATCCTAGGTCTTCACCAAGAGCTGGGCAGAAAAACACCCCGTCGTGCATGAATACTATATGAGCATCAGGAACGATAAGGATGGGATCTTTGACAGCATTCTTGGCCCCAACATTATCAGAGATGAAGCTGGCGGCACTTATCCTGACTATGATGGGTTGTAATGGGCTTTTTTCTGTGCCATACTGCACAGAAAAATGACAGTTACAGTGAGAATATCAACATTCGAAGACATAAAATGTCTACTGACATAGGCAGCTGTACGTATTGAATTACATCATTTCTTCGCTTTTCTATTGCTATTATAACCGAATGCAAGCAATGTATCTCCTCAGTGTATGCGCTGGTATCGCATTAATACGGCTACCTAGCATGAGAAGTTTCGTTGCAATCCCGCAAGCCCCGGTGTCGTGTCCAACTACTTGCCCGAATATGGAGGTAGGGATATCCGCCCAGATACCAAGCCTTGTTCAATATGTTTGACAACTACGAGCTTCAAACGGCTGGGTAACATAGACATGCACTTACAATTGCTGATACGATCATGCCGTGATTTGGTTTCAGCAATGGCGAATACCACGATCATGACATGTATCTTGACAAAGTCGGAAGTGCGCAGCCACCACTGCAGGATCAATTATGCCCGACAGCTGAGAGAGGCTTCTCAAGACTTTTGCAGTGCCAGCGACCAATCTCCCTTTGAGTTTGTCTTTGGATCTTGTTTACTGGAGGCTCATTGATACAATCGTCAAAGAGCTGGCTCCAAAAGTTGGTACCTTAGTGTCAATGACCGACGATTCTTGATCATGGAATGTTCAACGAAGTTTCCAAAGGAAGAAGATGCATGTGAACAGAATTCTCCCAGACTCTTCTGGAGACAAATACACAAAGACAACGTGGTTTATATTAGGGGAGCCAATCTCTCTTTCTCGAGCCAATTAGAAAAGCTCTCAGCTTTCCTTTTCGGCGCATCCGCGCCATAATGAGGATGGGTTGCTTCTCCTCTAAAGAAGCACTTTCTTCGGCACCAGTCCTCGGCTACCCTCTATCGGCAGTGTCTGTCAATGATTCCGCCTCTGAAACGTCAACCGATTGCCCACTGCTGGAAGTCCACGTACGATCCTGGGACGCTTCAGCTCTTCGAGTAGCTCAGAAACTTGATTGGCTATACCACATTGGACGCAATGCGCCTGAATCAACATTGGCGAGGGTCATGGAAGAGAACAGGGAGTGGGAGGTTCTCAATGACGGTTATTCGCGCCCATTCTGGGGAGACGATCCCAAGCATGGCGAAGACTGGTTAAATCTGTAAGATTCTGAAGCTGTCGTTCGAAACCATCTTTGCTGAGAGATTGCAAGACTGATAAATTATATGCCCGCAAGATATTAAAGCCTTCGTTGAGTCCAACCACGAACAAGCTGGCCCCTTGTATTTGCTGCTGAGGTAAGATGAGCTCTTTGGCCGAAACCAGATGCAAAAACCAATTAACTTGCCCAATGCCAACTGTGAGTTATTAAGAGCTCACTGGCTACTCAGATCGGGTGGTCTTGATTGTTTGAATTCTTCCTTTTTTGCGTCGAGACTCAATGTCATCATGTCAGACTTATTGGTTGGACTCTCCACCGCTCCGCATTCGAGATAGTTTAAGCACTCTTGGTCGCGAAAACAGCAAAGCTCGTCAATGATTTTATACAGCCGATTTTTAACCTAGGAAAAATAGGAACGGTACGACAATTTTCTTGCCTTGCCAGTCATTGAGACACTCTTACATAAGGTAGGTACAAACGGTGTAAGATGTCTACTAGGGTTCTGACTTATAGACTCCATTTAATGCTACCCTCCCAGCGCTATAAGTAGGTAATAACCCTCAGTTGATTTATGAACGAGCGCGCTAGTGAGCCTCCCTCTTTAAGGAATCACCAAATGGAGAGCATAATACGGCATTAAAACCCTTTGAGACCTCTCTAACTATAATTCCGCTTAATCATATGCTTGGTAAACGTTGGCTTCATCCCTCCTTCCTCAGTACCTGGATAGAGAGAGCTAACTTTAGGGTTTCCTTGAGATGGGTAGTAAAAGAATGTGCTGCCTTTTGGCTGGATTCTTCTATCCTTAGGAGAAGATACGCGTAGTGAAAACAACAAACATGAATTACATAGGTTTGATATCTATCAAAACGACGTGGCACAGGCTGCCAACTACACTTAGTCCTAAAGCCCTACTACTCATCTTATATGCTTCTCAACAGCATTATAAACACCAAGAACCTTCGTCCAACTTAGCTTCCGCCAGTTGAGAACCAAATCCTCGTATTCCTCGCTTGACTGCGGCAGGTCGGTACAGACAAGCATCCAATCAGTGCTCGCAGACACAGGAATGTTTCTTACCCTTCCATGGCTAGAAGCTAGATTGAGTAACATCAGTGCCTCCCCATCTACTGTGAGGACCTTGACTGGAATGACACCCGAAGCCAGCAGCGTCTGAATGTCGGGACTGACATCAATTGAGAAGCTATACTCAACAGGTTTCTTCGCGAATACTTTCTGGAACGGGCCACATGTTCGTAGGATGTGGTGATATTCAGAAGAGATTAAATAAGCAAGAACTTTCTGTTGGCTCAGCTGTGACACATTGGCCACCTCGCAAACGCTTCGGCAAGTAACCTGCCTCTGCAGAAAGTCTCGCCAAGTCCAGTCTGAGACTCTTACGACCTTCGCAGCCAGTAAGATAAACCCGCCGAGAAGCCAAGAGAATGCAGTGAAGTTGAATGGGTCAACCCCCTCCACCCTACTTCCAACCAGTAAGCCACACAGAAAGCCGCCAACGACCAGCACTACAGTCAGACCAAATACAACATTAACATATTTGGGACATTTGATAACTATCGACGTCTCTTGAATTATGCATTGGTCGGTAATCTTCTTTACCCGCTCTCGGTCCTTCTGCGCTCTGGCATCTGGACATTCGAACGGGTCTGCATTCAGCTGTTGCAGCAAAGAATTCGTTGATGAGGAGCTCCTCCAGAGAGGACGGTATCGATGGTTCACCAGCCAAAAACGGGCCAGTGAAGTTGTTTCGGCGTGTCCTTGTCTTGCGGAAACTTTGGCCGGAATTCCTCCTGGAAAGCTGCCGTGGCTTCGCCTTTCAACTCGGTGCATGCTGAAAAACGCATTTTGCAGTGCGATCTTCTGATGCGTAACCCAGTGAATATCGACTCGAGAACTAATGCCTCCTAGATTGTGGGCGAAACCTTTGCCTAGAAGGGGAGAAGCGAATGACAAAGGCGTCATTATGACGACGAAATCGATTATATTTCGTATGTCTTCAACCAGATGTTTGTTTTTCATGTTCACGGTAGCTTGGATACTCGTCTTCCTGCTTCTACCGATCCAAGATGCAGTCTTTGACCGTAGGTCTTGAGTATTGGGCATGGCTTGTATGGGTGCCTTTCCGCCACGTCCAATTGCTGATGAACGCTGAGAAGGTGGGGGGAGCGTCTGCAACAATTTCGAGCCTACTTCTAACGAGCTCAAAGTCCAGTGGATACCAAGACGATCGGTTGCGCCGCTGATACTGGCCCATCTGTCCTGATAAACTTGTGTGTGTCTGCCCCTGGTTCCCGCCTCGTACACCATGGTACAGATGTCTAGACTTTTTCGGTCCTCATATAGTGGTCTTTCGGCTCCAAGGTTTCGCAGTACATGCTCAATACATTCTATGAGCCAAGTAGACATTGCGATGTACTCTTCACAGTAGTTGACCACAATCGGCTGTGTAGAAGAGGATGGTCTGTCGGAATCGGAATCGGAATCAGAATCGGAATCGTAGCCGGAATGATCGTCTTTCGGGATATCAGGTCGGAGCTCCCCAATTTTATGCATAGCGCGAGAGATGGCCATGGGAAGTTGCGTAGCCAAGACCTTGATCTTTGTAGAGATCTTTGCCAATCATGCAAGAACAATCATCTTCCAATAAGGGCTGGCACTACCGTTCCAGGCAATATGAGCCAGAATAGAGGTGACTTCGTCCACGATGTAGCAGAATTGGTCTTTTTCGAAGGCAGTTAATCGATCGGTTGAAACTGTGGTCAGCTTCTCCTCAGCCTCTCCATCTACTGGAGCAAGGTACTCGTCTCTGGAATGGCTTTTTGATCGGCTGTGCAGAGGTATATCAGGAATCTCGCCCCTTATTTGTTGAAACTTCCAGAACATGCTGGGGCCGCGGTGTGGGTTTGAGGACGAATATCCGTGATCTCTCATTACAGCTTCGTCTTCGTAGCTGAACAACCATAAGGTGTAGAGAACCTTATCCTCCACTCTGCCCAACTGTGCAAAGTTTGCGTCGCTGATGTGCCAGGACCTCATTTTGTTCTCCTCTCCTATGTTCGGCTGCAGACAAGTGATGGCTGATGTTTCGGCAGCACGCTTGAGTCGTTCGATATCAAATTTCCAGAGCGTCTCATGCCGCTCCTCGTCCACACCACAATTCTTGATTCGGCCAAAAGGTGGCACACCTTCATCAGTATTAAGGCCATCTTCAAGTACCACGGAGCCCTTTTCCGTGCTCCTAGGCGCAAGTGGCTTGCCTAGGCAGTATCGCATGATTCGATCAGAACTAGCTCCTCCCACATGATTTAAAGATGCGCCTGGTTGTCTACCGGCATCGAACGTTGTCGACATGATTGTCAGTGAATTGTAGCAGAATACTTCATTGGATTTCGATCCGGGTTGCGTGAGTGATACTGGAATGTCTCAAGATTCGGTTTTCTCTGGTAAAGCTAAGGAAATAAGCCAGCGCTTCTTGTGGGCTTACACATGCAGATGTTAGTTACACTTGATTATGTTTCCCCCCTCACCGAAACAAAAATAGGTCAAATGCATTGCTGCCCAAAGAAGTACACCAATCGTAGTCAATGATCGTTTTGTGGTCATCTTGTGGGGTACGTCAGCACCATCCACCCTTGGTTTTCTCAAGCTCCAGAACCGCATCACTCGAAGCTAAATGAATGACTCTTGAATCATTAGTCGCTCTTCACGATCGCCCAACAAAACAGCGGATAAACAATGGCCTCTAAACAGCTATATGAGGACTTCTACTCTCTCTTGGAGTCCCCAGAACACGAAGAACTTTCTGCTCGTGAGATTGATAATTCCCCGCGCGACC